GCGCGGTCGGCCCGGCACGTCCTGGGGCTGCGGGCCGCCCGGCGGTGGTTTGGCTCCGTGCCGTTGTTCCGCAAGTTAAAACCGCTGAGGCAGAGCCACGCTGCCGCAGGAGCCGTGTCGCACAAGGACAGCTGCTCCCCGTGTCCCCGGGCCCGCCGGTCCGCGCTGGAACTCGAACTCGGGGTGACCCGCAGGTGGTGGTAGCCGTGGGCGGGTCCTTGTGCCCCGGCTTGTGCCTGTGGTGAGGGAGGGACAGACGGCTCCACCCAGCCTTCCTGCCTCCCTCCAGCCGCACGGAGACCCACTTCCTCCCCAGTCCTGTGACCCCTGGACCGGCCCCCCCAGCTTGTCCCTCCAGGAGGAGAGCGCGCTGCGGAGGAGCCGAGGCCAGGGCCTGGCGGGCGCTGCAGGATTCCAGGCTGACCACCAGCCAACCAGGAGGCAGAGGGTGGAACCAGCACTCGGCCTGTGCGGTAGGGACCTGCGCCGACACGCGGCAAAGCCCGGTGCGGGGCAGTCTGCTCGCACAGGGTCCCCTGGGCCACGGCTGGCCTCACCCACTGGGCAGCTGAAAAGCAGAAGCTGGGTGACTCATCAAGGGCCAGTGTTTTCAGAGCTTTATATTCTAGGCCAACCACCTCATCGTATGGATGGAGCCGGCCGCGTGGGAGGGAATCCGCCCAGGACTTATGCTCAGCAGACCCACCCTACAAGTGAGTACCGTCTGCTCCAGCATCTTCTGCCAAACAGAACTCTGGGTGTCCCAGGCCTGGGGCCTCACACGCCTTCCCAAGAAGTCAGGGAGGGAGATGCTCCCCCTGGCACTTTGCCAGCAAGTGACACGTGTGGTGGCTTAGGGGCATCCCCTCCCTCCCCAGGGCACCTTTGACTGCACCATCTCAGGGTACAGGGGTGGGGGGGCCCTCTGTGTAGGGCCCAGTCGTGGCAAAGACTCCATACAGGGTGCCCAGACTGGGGTGAACCCAGGTGTAGACTCAGCCCCGGGTGGGGGCTGGGGAGCTAGAGGGTCTAAAGCAGAAGGGCCCAGGGGTTTAAAGGGCTGCCTGGACCTCCCAGGGCAGTGCCCAGCGGCCAGACTCAGTGAGGAGGGCTCTCAGCCCCCCAGGCTGCTGTCTTGAGGACAATGACCTCGCCCTCCCTGGCTGGGCCCTGAGGGTTTACAAGGTGGAAGGGAGGAGAAGCTGGCCGAGCTATTCAAGGGTGAGGTTTTATAGATCTTTTCCCACCCTTTGGTGCTGTCTGGGAGATTGATTGGCTAATAAGGTATTTCTGTTCCAGATGACTAGAGGGTGTGAAAAAAGAGGGAGGAAGCCATCAGCCAAGCCTGGGGGCGGAGAAGCCACCATAAAACTACAGACATTCCCAGGCCCAGCGCCAGCGGCTGAGCATCTCTCCTGAACAGTGGGTGGCAGCCGGGCTCCCTGGCATTCGAGCAGAGGCAAACCTGGCAAACCTGGCCCTGGTGGGAGGACCAGCCACAGGAGCCCACTCTTGAGGGCTGGGCCTGAGAAAGGGGGCTGGTGATGGTACCAGAAACGTGTGTGTGTGTGTCTGTCTGCCTGTCTGTCCATCCGGGAATGCGAGTCAGAATGCAGAAATGCAGATGAAGGCCTCTGACCACACATTTTCAGCTACTCTAGGCAACTCCCATAAAGCTAATCTGGGCAAGTGCCATTTGAGAAAAAAACAAGCTCAGGGGTTTGTCTTCTCAGCCCCAAGGACTGAGATGGGACAGACTGCTCCAAAGACCTGTCCGAGGCCCCTCCGTCACCTGCCTGGGCCCTCAGCCTTTTCTAGGGGCTCAGCAGCTTCTGCTTGGCTGAGGGGGACAGGCTGGGGCTCCCTCAGCTGGGTGCCTGCCTGTGGGGGACAGAGCTCGGGCCCCGAGGCGGAGCCTGGCGGCCGATGCCCAGACAGCTCCTCCTGGGGGGGCACAGTGTGATTTCTGTTTCTTAAACCTTATTTGTGTTCCTCCTTGCAATTTCCTCCAGCTCAGGCCCTTGGGGGTCGCCCCACCACTGAGAGCCCAGCCCAGGAGGTGTTGCAAGTGCAGTGGAGCGGGCCCGCAGCGGGGCCCTCACTGCCCTGCCTAGGGTCCCAAGTTCCAGAAAGTTCTTCTCCACTCTGTGAGGTCTGGCAGAACAGGCCTTGGAAGCAGAAGTATGTGTCCTAAGACTGATGAGGACACTTGTGAAGATTTGAAAGGCAGGAGTGAAGGAAGTCTCCCGGGTGAAGCCCTCTGATGCCTTGAGTTTTCACGATCCAACTGCGTGATTTACATCTCCCAAGACTGACGTCAGTTACGTCTAAGGAGGGAGGCTCGAGAAAATGCCAGTTATGGAGATAAATAAGCAACTGGATAGGAACCATTTTTAGTGTTCGTCATTGCGGTGGTACAGCTATAAGGGTGTGTTCATGATGGGTGGTAAAGAAAAGGCTGGACAGACGGACAGACTGACATCAGGAAGGTTGGTTGGGTCACGGCCCCACACAGGCTGCTCCACCTGGGGGAGCGGGGCTCGAAGCCACAGTCCTCAGGCCATTGTCTATGTTGGGGAACCTCTTTTTCTAGGAAACTCTGTGTCCAATACTAGAACGTAAGTCCTGTGAATAAAATGCCACCGTGCTGGTGGAGGATCAGGGCCTTCTCAAGTTTCAGGTGCGCTGGGGGCCCCCTTGCCCTCGCAGCATCATTTTAACAGTGAGCCTTTCGGAGCAAACACGCATCTTCTTCACAGCTTCTTTCTGCATTCGTCCAACATGCAAACAAACAGAAACAGTATGTGAACAGAAAGCCGTTCTTCCAGGTCCCTTCTCTGAAGCCATCACTGGGAGGAGACTGGCAGCAGGGACTCTGAGGATGTGCCCCAGCCAGCTCCTGTCTGCGGCCTGGCTTGTGCGCAGATGGGAGCAGGGCGCACACTGACCTTCCCACGTAACGGGCTGTGTCAGGCTTGGCGTATGCATGGAGCCTGACCTCCATTTTGGTGGCTCCGTGGTCTGAATGTCACACAGCTTGAGTGGCAGTGGTCACTGTCTCCTCAGGCTCCTTCATTCAGATCCCAGCCCTGGAGATGTCATCTGGGTAACCTTTCCGGGCTTCTGTTTCCTCATCTGTAAACCATCGGCAACTTGGTGAGGTGGTTGTGAGAATTAAATGAATGAATTTATGTAAAACCCTGGTAACGGGCCCTGGCGTCCACTCTCAAGGTACGTGCTACCCTCTGATTGCCGGTTTGATGTACTTAAGCAGCCTCTGCCGGTGAGCCTGAGTCGCTTCTGGGGGGCAGCTGTTTGAGGCTGCCCTGCAGTAGAACGCCCTGGGCGTTGTGCGCCTGCGCAGGTACCGGCGTATCTGTGGGGTTGTGTCTAGATTTGTTCACGGTGGGATCCACGCAGCCTTCAGTGGGCGGAAGGGGGGAGCATCTCTGAA